GGGGGTTCGGAGTCGGTTGCCGCCATGGCATATTGACTGGTAGGAAAGTGTATTTGCGCCCTATCTTTTCCTATCTCACCATGCCCCAGACTGAGCAAGAATTGTCAGAACATACTTGTCAGAGCAGACTTGTTCAGGGTTCTCCCCAGGATGAAATTGAAACAGAGGGGAACGGACCGTGCGAGAGCAGCGAGCAAAAACTAAGGGGGTCCGGGGGAGAATTTTCCTCCCCGGAAAATTTCGAGATCTTAGATGCTCTGTGGTGCATTCTGAGGCATTTTGGGACATGTTTGAGTTGATTTGTTTTCTCTGATCTGGTGTGTCATTTTTTACATTTTTTGTTTTTAAACTAGGGTTTATGGGATAACTATGGGAGAACTTGAAGGCAACTTGTAATTTTTTCGGGCAAGTACATAAAAATGAACATAACACAAGGCATCAGTTTAGTGGATGTATCATTTATTGACATGTATTGCAATAAGCAGGATCTTTTCTGTAAAACTTTATCATCAATGTCATGATTCATCCACTGTGACTCTACTTTGTCACATCTACTCGACGCTGGCGCATGGCAGCCCAACGATAAACTGCCTGGTCGAATGGGAATTTAGCTTATTATTATTAACTCACTGTATTTACTTCAGTCTGTTTGGGTGGTGGGGCTCGAGGCCCGGCACCGGCGGCAGTCGGGGCGTCTCCGAGTCCCGAGTCTTGAGTCCGCATCGCTGGGAGAAACCGGTGACGGCGGGTTCATGCTCTCTGCTCCTACTTCGACAATCGCCTCGTCTGTCGCATTAGGTGCCGGACTTTTTGGAAGAAGTGGCATATAGATCGATTCATATTTCATGTGTTTCACGGTTGTGTCGTCGATGTAGAGCCGTACGATTGTTCAGGTTCGATTTGTGGTGCTAGGGACGCGAGACGACTCGACTTCAACTGTTCAAAAGAGCTCTTTGCTGATTGGCTTAGCAGTGAGGGTGACCAGCCAATCACAGCGAAGCACACAAGTGTGCTTTGGTTACTGCTCGCAAAATGGCGGCATCAACAAACGATCGATTCCCGCGCTGTCAAACTTTTATTTTGAACTGTGATGCTGAAACTCCGCTGGAAATAGTGTATTTCAATTCGGCGATAACATTTCCTATCCGGGGGTGGAAATTAATCGAGGCGGAGGTAATTTAAACGTGGCGCAACGATTGAAACGAGGGGGGAGTTTTCGCAAAGGGGCGCGCCCGGTTTGCGCAACGTAGGGAGGGGCCTGGCATTGACCTTCCACCTGAGCGAAATATAACCACGCCCCTTTTGATATTACGGCTGCCGAGTCGGCCAAGCTAGACTCAAGTCACTCGAGTGTTTTTCACGCGTGCAAAGCAATTAAGTTATCGACTTTGCAGCACTTCATTATCAAGGTTAATTGCTATCATGATTCGTGACGCTCTATATAGCTCTATACAACAATACCTCTCTGCTGTCAATCACTCCAGGTAGATAGCTCAGTTGCTTTCTGCCAGAGAAAAAGATGGTACGGTTTTTTTATAGGGTGCCAGCTGACCGAGGCAAACAAGTCGGTGCACTGGGATGAGGAGAATTTACCAGAGGACGAGGAGACGAATGGGAAAGATTCGAAAGAGGACGAGGAAGATAATGAAGACTTCTTGAAACATTCACTGTTCGCAAAGCAGGTTTGTCTGTAATAGGTTGCTGCTTGAACGGGCAGGTTTCATATGCTGCCAATTGAAATATTAATGTATTTCAGTATTGTTGTCCTTTAAACATTGATAATGGTTGTGTCTAAGTGATTTAATGAATTGTGGCCGAGTTTACATAGGTTTATCATTTTAACCTTCTATATCTGGAGCCATATATCAAGGCTCGACACTAGCGGTGGCCCGGTGGCCCGGGGCCACCAAAACTTGATGTCGGGCCACCAAAATTTCCAAAAGTTAAAATTTGGTGGCCCGAACGGGCCACTAAAATTTCAGTGTCTATGTGATAAAAATAATTGTTTCTTCAATCTCATTCAAAAGAGAGCGAGCAATTCGCGGAGCGAGGGCACACGTACGCACGTGCAGCATTCTACCGATACGCCGCACGCACGCACATCACGCACAACTACACGCCACACACGGCACACCACACAACAACAACAACAACAACAACAACACAACACAAACAACAACAACACACGTTAATAATAGTAAACTGGAGAACATTTCGTTTTTTTTAATGCGCAATCAGTGGAATAAATATTGCGAGATGTTAAACACTCTCGCGCGCGGTGTTCGTCGGCATCGTGCGACGGGCCTGTCTCTGCTTAGATACAATAATGTAAACCCAACAAGAGTAGGCAGAACAAAGTTAGTAAAGCACAAGGAAAGAAGGGCGTTAGAAGAACAAAGCCCCCTATACTCTTGTTAGGGTTCAATGATTTGTATGCCTACCATCTGCGCGTTTTTGGTGCGGATACGTACATGAGGGTCGTTCCTGGCCTGCGCCTTGCTGTGAATGTAAGGAAAGCTGAGCAGGATTCCTCTCCAGCTTTCAGGTGCCTTCAGGATGGGCGACAGGTGGCTTCCCACATACCGTTGTCTCTGGAGCCTGCAGAAAAACGATTGAGGGAACTGACGGCTTCTCAGAGTAAATAGTAGCATCGGCGTTAGAGTTCAATGTGATCAAACTCAGTTTTTAGTGTTTTCACAACATATCGAGACGGAGAGTTGCCTAACGGTTACTGCGCTTTATATTAACGAGTGTGCGTTCAGCAGTAAGCAATGAAATGGGTATCTAGGTTCTCTCTCCTTCGCAAGAACAAGCTCAACAACGCGGAACGCTCACGTTATACTGAATCCGATCATTGTATAGACCCATGTAGGATATGAAATGAAATATAGAAAATCGAATAGGGTGTTGCAATTTTAATAATTTCTCGAAAGCTCGCTTATTAAAATTGAACACGCCTATTCTCATTTTTCTTATAATATATCAATAGTATTATATCAGCTGAGCGTTATACATTGACAATTTAATGGCATATTTGATCATTATACGGCTTCCTATTATACTATTATATACTATAGAATATATACTATAGTATATAGCTATAATATATCGGTAAAACGTTACTTTTGATTTGTCGACGGAACTGAAGCCATTGCCCTTCCTCTCTTATTTGATGGAAGCGTATTATCGTTGGTCGGCGTGGGCCTTCTCACGCGCGGGTATATTTCAGAAGTACTTGGGCGAGCTCTGGCGTAGAGCGAGTCATCGCGGGCTCGAAAGGTTGTGGTGCTGTGCGTGGCGGACATACACGGTCGCGGTAGGGATTAGCCGTTGGATGTACGGACGGAAAAATGGCTATAGGGCGTGAGGTGGTAGCATTAGTTATAGCTGACACCGACAACGGCCTATTACTTCACAGTGTCGAGAGAAAGGGTGGGGTGATGGCAGGGGTTACTATAGCGAGTTATTATAGGTGGTTACGACGAAAGCTAGAGGGCGTGAGGTGGTAGCTCGAGTTACTATATTATAGTATATACGAGGAAGATAAATTTTGACTCTTATATTTTTTCTTCTTTGGATATTAAGACGGTAGACCCTAGTGTCGCAAGGGGCCGCGATTTGATTTTAGGTGTGATATACTAAAATGTCTCGTTTTGAAACCAAATGTTCAGAACTGTTGTAGAATGGAATTCTCAATGGTATTGAAGTACCTAAGATATCCGCTTGCCGTGTTTGGCAGGCAGCTCTATTAAATCGTTGTTGCGATAGACTGTTCTAAAGACAAGGCTTAGTAACGAAGTCTTCGCAAAGTGATATTTCGGACGGCGGGCGGCGGGAAAATCCGTATAACGGATCCCAGGTGTGACGACTAGCAACAGTATCCAGGGGGCGTGTTATCGCGCGCAGACGCATGTTTCTAGAAGGGGAGAGTTCTAAGCATACGGTATGAGGTAACTGGCTGTAAGGTAAAGGTGAAGGGTACGGGTAGACGGTAGATGTAGGCAAGCGTAACGTAGAGTGTAAGGTAAGGTAAAAAGGTTAGAGTGTGTAAGGTAGAGTGGTTCTAAGAGTAGTGCATGGTTTCTAGGTAGAGTTTGAATTCTTCGACGCATGCAGTCGTGTGTTGTTTTATAGATGGTATAGACAAAAAATTCGATAATTCCAAAACGAAAAACAAAACATTAAGTTTTCATGTAATGATGATATTACGTCCCATCGATAAATTCAACAAAAGAACGGTATCGCGTCTTAAAATTATCTACCAACGTTAGGCACGGGTTTCTAATGTCCTGCGGACGCTGTCGTGTTGTTGTTTATAGATGCGCGCTGACTGCACCATGGATGGTAGGATAGGAGACAACGCATCTTAACGCTGCCTGAGCGTTCATCAAGATCCTCCGCGCTCCACGTGGAAGGTAACGCGATCCTGCCGCACATCGTCAGGTTCATTGTTGACTGCAATGGGAACAGCGACACTGCTTCATACACTATACGCACGTATAATGATGATGATGATGACTGTGATGATGATGATGATGATGATGTGTGGATGATGTATATAAAGAGATCGAAGATTTAACAAACAAAAATAAAATAAATAATACAATACATATATCAACTAATGAAAAAAATATAAATTATAATAAAAATATAAAAATGTGCGTGAGTGCGGGATCGTGTCGGCTCGGTCGGTCAGCGGACAGCAAGAGCTATATATACAAAAGAGGAAGCCGCATATCTGGCCAAATCTTTTGCAGATTTGGTCATATCTGCTAGAACAGATTTTAGTGTTCGATTGTCTTT